ATATATATACATACACACACACACACACACTCACACACACGCACACACACACACACATATATATATATATAAACGTAAATACAGAACACGCACACACACACGCACACACAAAGACAACACACACACACATACACGCACACACGCACATATATATATATATATATATACATAACTACATACACAGTATACACACGCACACACATTCACACACAAACACACACATACACACACACACACACACACACACACATATATATATACGACATTAAGTTATACCTTGCAGTATTCCTCCACCTTCTGCAGGTGCAATTCGGCCATGCGCACCCAAAACGAGACGGCAATCAGCACAAGCTCAGTCAAACGCACACACTCCTTATGAGTCAGGGCATTATTCTGCCTCAGTGTGTGTAGCGGGAAATTGGCCCAGACACGCACCAGATTGGACAAGTACTGGGCTACACTTAAAGCCTGCCGTAAGGTTAGGCAGTAGTTGAGACTGGTTAACAGGTTGGCGAGTGTGTATAGGCGTGGACGGTACGAACGATAATCTCTATAATTGTCACAGGTGTAATAGGGTTATTAATATACAATGAAACCCACTTACTCTGGAACAAGCATGGTGTAATCTGCTGTACTATCGTAGACATCACTTACATTGTAGTTGCGCACATAAGGGTAAAATCTTAAATTGGCAATATGCTACTCTATATGTGACCGCCACAGGTCTACATTCATAGTTAATGCCTTTGCATGTACATAATCATAAGCAAAACTATTTCTGTGCACTAATATGCCACATAAAAATTGACATTCTTGCAGATATATACATATACGTATTTCGTTGTAAAATCATACGTCGGTCAAACTATTAAGCACACTTCTTTATGTGCCATTTGGTCTACCTTGACACAGAAAATAGTGGTATAACCAGACTCCCCGTTAGGCAGGGCCACCTTATAGTTTGGTAAGTGGCTCCATCTCTGTGATACGAAATCCACTACACGTCCTATAGCCGCCCTTTGCGCTTCGTTCATAAAGTCTTTGAAAAAATCCAAGTATCGGATATGCGAATCGTCACGTAGCTTAAGACTCTCCCAATCAACCAGCAATGCATAGCCCGCGCCCGCATGATCATCTAACAAGGAAAAGAATGAAGAAAAAAAACGGTGGGAAGTGATGTGAATTCTTCGATTAAATTCACACATAAGATATGCGTCGATGAACCAGAAACGCACAGCCCTCGCCCTCAGCATCGACATCAAGGTGGAGAAAAGTGTGGCATCAAGTCCTGATGTAAGTCCAGATATTTAAATTTGCTTTCTGTCGCATATTCGAGGCTATGAAACTCCAGCCCGCAGGGATATCTGCAAAGTGTTGATGCGTGGCAGGGGTATGATATGCACCCTTTGATGCAAACGGTCGTGGTTGAAAACATTCCCAACAAGGTACTGAGTAGTGACTTTAGATTCATCTGTAATGTGACCAGTCTAGCAGGGGTGTGATATGAACTCATTGAAATAGCCGAAATTGAGTGTATGCAACGGTTCGCGTAATTTAAAACATACACAGTTGCATCGTGGTTAAGTGACGTGCGGCAGGAGTGCGATACCATTTTTTTTTAGCAAAGTCAGGGACCGCACATGCGACGCATTCGAAAATTTGAAACTCCAGGTTGAGGCCTACAGTAAACTATACATCTGTCTGCACAATTATACGTGTACGCATCGATAAGATAATTCAATGCATATCGATGTACCTTATGCGATGCACTCATATCATTGTATGCAACTGTTTTAGATAATAAGAACACACTTCTACTATGGTTGTATTGGGACGGAAATACACTATACACGTTTGTCAAGGATGACCCATCGATAAATAGATGTATATGTGTGCGTACACGGAAAATTAGGCAACGTAATTTGACCATGCGATATTGGATTTCAAATGAACTTGGAGCCTAACGCTTCAAATCAACGTTGCGGATTGGGGTACTCACCAAAGTCTAGTTCCTGTATACCGACTGTGTCTAAGCATATGGCATCTGTGATGTTGTCATTGCGTTCTCCAACAACCCGAATCTCATCGTACTTGTCTCGATCCTCACTACCGAACTGGCGCCACCTATGTATTAGTCGGTACATTGCATCAACTGACTCTACTATCAACCTGTGTGGAGAAAGTACTGGCCCATATCAGTCAAGGACATCGCCGCCGCCGGATCTAAAACCAATCTGCATGCAACAGATGAAAAGTCACATGCACACGTTGCACTCATAGGATAGTTTAATAGTTGAACACTACGTTTGATATTTGTGCACCCTACACGAGTCATTCTGCAAATAGAAGGCAAGATGGGATAAGTATACAGTAATGCTATCCACACGGATGGTGCCTTAGTTGCATCTTAGTTTATCATACTACATGCTTATTGTCCGTGACTTCACACAAGTAAGTACATATTTATTCCCAGACCCCGGATCCTTCATACACTTCATCAACCGTTGCCCTCCATCCCCAGAGCCAGCTAACTGCCAGCACGCCACCATGGTACTGAATGTGATGTTGAGCAATACGTAGATAAGCGCAATATTAGTTTCTACGATTATGATAAAACAAACATTGCAATATTGATTGTCTGATGCAAGTGAGGTAGTAGTACGACACTAATAGGTGTGCCTGTGTATGGGCTAGAAATGTTGTACGCGATGTGAAAGTGGGTAGTAAACAACGTGTATTAATGCGCGTAGTATTCACCGAGGTACTTGCCATGGTATTCAAGAAGGTGCCTAGAGATTTAGTAATCAGTGCCACTGTATATGTCTATACATAGCGTGTTGGCATCGCATATTATTAATGTATGGATATGCTGTGCGTAACGGTAGCGGGCTGTCAGTATAATAGTCAAACAGCTCGCATCAAAACTCGGTGCAGCACTATTCAGTATAATACTATAGACACTCACTCAACGTTTCACAGTTTTTCATGCCAAAATACCGACACATGCTTTGTATGAGGCATGACTGGGACCAGAAAAAGCTGAGTTGTGTATGAATTCCCTGTGTCGAACCGCTGATCAACTATACGAGTGAAATATTTGGACATCCCAAGTGTAGTGCATACCTGGGACTAGGTGCAGGGCAGCTCTCCATGAACTCAATGACGCTCTGCTCCTCGTACATATGGTTCAGGATGCTGGCGAGACTCAATTTGGTGTTGCTCTCCTGCACTACTTAGGGATCGGTCAAAGGCTTGGGGCAGGTGGCATTCTCAGCCGAGAGTTTATTTCCGATGCTCACGATAGAACGCGGAATCACCAACTGGGAGACGAGCAGAAGTGAACAGATAGGCATGGCGTTTATTATAGAACACGTCGCTATACCACCGTAGCAGGACTTAAGAACGCTATAGATGTGAACACGGCAAGTAAAATAGCGACGCTAGTTTGATTGTGAGCGTTATGTATAAGAGCACGGTGTCGTTTTTGAGCATTGATCTGCTACGAGCAGTTACGAGAGCATGATTCCTCATGTCTGCCCCTAATGTCATTGGCCAAGTTTGTGATTACGAGAGAAGCGACCTTCGGGATATCCATCCCCTCAGATCTACAATCCGGTAGAGGTTGTGAGCGCCCTCAAGCAATCGAAAATTGCCTCGCAAAACTTCGCTGCGAATATTACCTATTCGATTCAAAGTCTCTTTCGGAGCAACTGCTATTATTGTAGCGAGCCTCCATTTTCCGAGACTATCTCTGGAGTGTTGTCCCATGCTGGGGATGGGTCAACAGACGTCAACGAATATTCGCACATGCGTATGGGCATGTTCATTTATATGAAATATTCATGTAGCGCAAGTATGTATATAAATGTCACATATATGTGCACATATATATTGACCATACCGTATAGAAAAATGTGAACAATATATACAATTGATAGGTATGAATGGGAAAGTATGCCAACCTTTTCTATACAACGCACACATATCATACACACAAACTTATACACACGCGTTCAAATACATGTTATCTATCGCATGTGTGTGCAGAAGTACAAACCACCCCACACACATACACGCGACACACATGCACACCTAGTTTCATACCCACCCGCACAAATAAGATTTAACTTAGTTGTACTTGCAAGTGTGTGAATCCCAAACCTCACCTATGAAGGTGTCTGCCACCGCAGAGACATTGTAGAATCCCGTAGCAAGTTCGTAAGCGAATACCTGTTTGCGATCTTTGCAAAGCCTACAGTCACACACACACACATAAAATATCATCCGGTGTAGCTACTGAGGTGTCACACACATACACATAAAGATCATCCGGTGTAGCTACTAAGATGTCACACACATACACATAAAGATCATCCGGTGTAGCTACTGAGATGTCCGCCATCCCAGAAACTCTGTGGGTCTGTGGTGAGAATATAGGCTGCATGCTTGTTTGCCAATTTAGTAAATCCTAAACCGAAAACCTTGACGCCTAAACCCGACCAGGCATACAGGTTTGCCCGGTTTACTTACTGAGGCTATCTGAGAAATTTGCGCATCTCTATGAGGACGAGATTAAGCAATCGATTGTCGCCATCAAATTGTAAACCTACGCCTCTTAACATAATCGGACCTAAACATGAAACCAAACCCAAATCCCACACACGCATATACGCATACAGAAATTCACCACAGTCCCATACCGACGTATTTGCCATCGCAGAGCTAACCCGTATCGCTGTGGCAAGATCATAGCCCGAGTATTTGATAGCGGTTTCTTGAGCCAATCCCCGTGGAATGTACACGTGCACTTTGCCCATGTCGTCCACCTCCTGTTGCATATCTGCCTGTCGTAGCCTGGCATACATATCCTGTCGAGAGGGAATGCGCCAGGACGTAAGTGTATATGGGCGAGAGAACAATAGACGAAGAGAGGGATGTACAAGCAGGGGAAGATAGATACAAGCTAGGCGATGAGTAAGATAACAACTAAGCGCCGAGAAAATTGTAAGCGTGGGCCTTGAAACTAACAGACAAGTCGGCTATCCATGTGCCTGTTGTAATCTTGTTTATATATTTTTCTTTGGGAAGAAATAGTGTGACGTAGGTGTGGGAATATAGCAGCACACTGTTCAACACCTACAAGGCTTACCCCAATATAAACGCACAGTGAGTGAGAGCAAAACGAAAGGCCACACACAGCTAACACCATTATATGTGCACACACACCACGCCTCACACACTTAAACACACACACACACACACACACACCACACCTAATACGCACATGCAACCGACCCAAACCACAAGAAAGCGCTCACACAAAAAACACACAAACACCGGACCACAACACGCACACACGAGAACCACACTGTAATAAGCACACATAACGATTCTTTATTTGGACATTAGCAGATACTTCTGATGCATTCAAACTCACAACAGCACTGCGTGTTTGCACTTGTTTGCAGCCCAGACGCGTTATGCACATACACACACACACCGGCTAACACGATTCATGCGTATGAATATATTTATCACAGACGCACCGTCACCTAATCCAAACAGACACACTGCGACGATTTTGTGATCAGTCTCCCTACCAGCTATCATCCGAAATATACGTGCACACCACAACCCAAGACACTACAGCACACACAACTCAGGAGGCAGCAAAATGAAAAAAATAATTGATACACAACGTGATACCTGCAACTATACACCCTGCATATCTGGCAACATATCTCACATTCGATAACAGAAACTAACCACGCACAAGACATACCATTCCATGACCATTCCCATTGCACAGTGGCATAACATCTAAGACAGGCAACACACATCTCACATACAACCCCCCCACACACACTATATACCATTCCATGAAGACACACTACAGTATACATGACAAACACACCCGCTCACCTGGCGAAAGAATTCTATGAACATCCTTCCTACAATGTAGACGACACGGCACACACAGCAAACACAGCAACACAAAACACAAAACACGAAAGAACTTACCAACGAATATTACATTTCTATTCATGGACGCTCTCACATGACCATGAAACGGTACGCACACGAGCCACACACAGCACCATGCAAACACAAACCACACACACTCAGATATACTCATCTCCACACAACACATATATACCCCTCGCTCAGGTACATTACATACTATGCCGTTATCGCTCTCACTCCCACTCCCACTTGCACTCTCGCTGTTGTCACCATCATCCAGGAAGGCTTTGTCGGCATCATCGCTACTGTCCTCTCTATAGCCGCGGGTGGGTGGCAGCCTGCCCTTCTTTTTAGACTTAGGACCAGACCTGGAAGAAATTGCCCTAGAGGGCTTTGGGGAAGGACTGGGTGTAGGAGACTCTCTGTATCGGGGTTGGGAAGCCCTGTTGCCGCGAGATAATCGCCGCGTCTTTGACTTCGGTCGCAGCTCTGCTTCTGTGTATATATGAAGCCAACAAATCATCAGAGATGAGTGACCAATTACCTAAGTGCCAAATGAGGCGCGGTGTTGTGTGCGTGGTATGTAATGAACAAGGAGATTCATGACACACTATATGCCAATGTATGCGATTGAGCATTTGTGATAAATCCACAGCATGAAGACAGTATACAACAAATGAACAGGAGCATTAGCTGCTATAAACGCGGGTTTTCATTCCTACATATATTTTCACAAGCAACTGTGAATAAATCACTGCTAGGGCGCCGTCAGTATTGAAGGCGCTGGTTGTCGCAATGATATTTAATTGTACGCTTAAATTGAAGGTGTTTGTTCACACAGGAAATACAATGCACCTGCAAACCCACTCATCCCCCAAACCGCAGCTTAATATGTAGAAGTTCCTGGGGGACTTAAAAGTGGACAAAAGGCGATACGAACAGAACCTAGTTAGCGAAATCGGGACTTTAAAACTAGGCTTTCAGAAACACACATCCTATAAAATATATGACGAATAAGTCGTAGAGAACTTCACAGCATGAACACACAGCCACAAACAAAGCACATATGCTTTAGGCACATACATACCAGCTCAAATGCACAAGCATATTGAAACTATACATATACATACATTCTGAAACATGCATAATCAGTACTCAACCACATCCTAGTAAATCAGAATACGGCCCTACATACCAGACCCGCCATCTCCCTCACCCGCACTTGCACCCACAGCAGATCCAGGGCCATACATGTCCTCCGCCTCTCGTGCGCTTTTCATGCGCAAAGCTCTCATCGAGCGCTTCATAGGCCCATCGCTTTCACTGGCACTGGCATTACCTATATCCGTACCAAATCTGTGGCGACTCTTAGACGTTTTACTCACGGCCACCTTTGTTTGTACCGAACTTTGTCTTTTCTTATTCTTGAGTGTAGGTTGCTCCCACTCGCTGGCGCTCTCACTGCCTGCACTGTCCAGCATTGACTGCTGCTGGCTATGCCAGCGCACTGATTTCCCACCCATGTTTGTATACGCATTGACATTTGTGTTTACATTTCTAAAAAGGTTCGTGTTCGTGTATGCGTTCCCATTGGTGCTTGCACTTTTGCTTTTCCTTGTAGTACTGCTACTACCCTTCTTAGCACTCACTTCACGTCCGTCCTCCGACTCCTCACTGTCAGTGAGCTGCCTCCGACTCTTCTTTGCACCCTTTGCTGTACGCCCTTTTTGCTTCGTATTCACTTGTGCCCGTCCTTTCCTACCTGTACTGCTCTCATACTCCCTCACATCACTATCACTGCCACTATCACTATCACTGATCCTACCTCTCCGCCCCTTCTTGGCCGGTTTCTTCCTCTTCCTCTTGCTCACCCCAGTCTCTCTACTTTCATACTCACTTGCATCACTCTCACTATCGCTGATCCTACCTCTCCGTCCCTTCTTGGCCGGTTTCTTCCTCTTCCTCAAACTCATCTCAGTCTCTCTACTTTCATACTCACTTGCATCACTCTCACTATCGCTGATCCTACCTCTCCGTCCCTTATTGACCGGTTTCTTCCCCTTCCACTTCTTCACCTCGGTCCCACTACTCTCATACCTACTTCCATCGCTCTCACTATCACTCGCATACCTACTCGCCGATACTTTCTTCACCGCTTTCCCTTTCTCACCTGCCCCTGCCCCTTTCCCTTTCCCTTTCCGCGGTTTAGATTTCGCTGCCTTCTCAACCGCCACACTCTTCTGTTTCGCGCGACTGTACACCACCCGATCATCTCGCCCAGGCACAAACAGTACCGCACTTTCCAAAGAGCTATCACTGCTGCCCTCTGCACTGCTCTCCTTCTCAGCGACATCGCTATCTAGCTCAAAATCAGTATCCTTTGCATCGTCTCCCGAGTCTTTGCCTTTGCCTTTTTTCTTCTTTGTCCCGTTTTCCGATTCCGATTCCGTGCTCGACCAAGAAAATTCTTTGTATATAATGTTGTCTTTTGGCTTGGGTTTGGGTTTCAGGTCGATCTGTTCTTGTTTTTTATTGTCTGGAAAAGAAATGGAATATGAGAATGATGTTCGACAACTAAGATGGACAAAGTATCCGGATAAAAATTTATACTAGAGTAGACTGTAGATTGATACATCATTATTCTTGAGGACGCCAGAAATATCATTATCGGTCGGTGCAGCATAGAAGTGACCTTAGAGAGTAACTAACAGTGGTGCCCCCCCAATTGCATTGGCACTGTTGTCTGCTACCTAGCTTAGTATAGTACAGATAGGGTGGTTGTCAATACGCACGCGCTTTATTAGAAGATTAAGAAACTGAGTTCGATCTGTTTGTAGCTTCCACGGTAGAGAGGCACACGCATGCTTCCCCCATACAAATAAGAAAAGTAATGAACATCCTCACCTTTCTCTTCGCTCACGTCTGTATCCATGTCTTCTCTCAAGCCCTCGTTACCCCGTGGTATGCGATAGTTGACTACCTGTGTGCGTGCGAGACGTCTGCTGTGTCGGATAGGACTACCCGAGTCACCGTCATCACTGCCACTGTCATCAGCGCCGCTTCTTTCACTGTATTCTGCTGCTATAGATAAATAAGAGTGTGAGTATAACATATATAGGCACAGACAGTGGATTGACATGGCCAGTACTGGCTGTTGTGAATAGGTTGGTTGTGAATATATTATCGAATGGAACATTGGACTCACATCCTTCGATCGGGTATGCTTTTATAATCAAATTTAGTAGCACCGGGTACTCTAACTCTATAACCGACTGTGGCAACTAGTCAAAAACATGGATACCATCGAGTACACTATTAGCCGATACAAACCGTGCATAAATACATACTTCGGTCGGGTACATTTTAATAACCGATTTCAGCAGTCTCAAGTATACTTCAGTCAACAGTAGCTACTCTGCCTAGTCTTTTACTGTGCCGCGGGGTGTCGTGATCATCGGGATCACCCTTGGAGACATTGCTGCTCGCTGCTATGGGTATGCATACATGCAGAGAATATGCGCAAACCACGACAGATCTTACTGTGCTGAACAGTACGGGTATATATACACGCAGAATATATGCGTAAACCACAACAGATCTTACTGTGCTGAACTCTACGGGTATATATACACGCAGTGAATATGCGCAAACCAAAACAAATCGTAATGTGCTGAACTCTACGGTATGTATACACGCAGTGAGTGTACACAAACAACAGTAAAATACACTGGAAGCTCATGATGTCCATAACACATCTTTTCCGCTCAGCTCTATGAGTAGGTAGGTACACATGCAGTTATTGAGTACAAACCCCGGTAAATCATACTGCAAACTCACAGTCAAAGTTCAAGACACATCTGTCTCTACTGAATTGGACGCATGAGTATACACGCACAGAAGATTCTCAATCCACAGTTAAGCATTTGCAAACATACAATTATGTTGTATGACACCACTTTCCCAACCCAAGTCTAAAAGTGGGTGATAGGTGTGCGTGGACAATGTGCCAATCACAATTGGCTCATATTGCTAATTCGCATATACAGTACACAGCGCTGCATTTTCAAATCATCTCTACGGGCTTAAATCAATCCATACTAGTTCACACTTCACAGGTACATCCTAAGTACACAAACCAAATCTCACATGGCTACGAGTATACACATGTACGAAAAATATACACAGCCAAAATTCAATAAGCAGACTTAAAGTCACCCCAGAATAGACATGTGTATGAAATTGACACTTATCAATTGCAAAATATCACGTAGACTAGAAACTATCGACAAATCGCTACGATTTAACATCCACTCTTAAATACACACCCAGAAGATCTAATGTGCGCTTCCCACACTTCCCAAAACAACTAATCAAATATACACACGTCACACATATATCCACACATCCACTCTTCACGCACCAAAAGAAATGGGTCTCTCACGCATATCCATATACAAGCCCCACGCATAGCCGCACACTACCACTCACCACTTGAATCCCCGCTGTCGCTACTGCTGTCACTGCCACCTCGTCGCTTCTTTCTCGATCGCCCCTTCGCTTTCCCACTCAATTTTCCCTTTCTTACCACCCCCTTTAGAGCGCTCATCCTCATCTCTTCCGCGGCCCTTGTGAGCGGGTCGCTTGCTGTGCTCATCACCACTGTCATCGCTCGGGACATATTCATCCGAGCTCGACTCGCTGGACAAATCGCTGAGTCCATGGGCATTGATAGAGCGGCGCTTCTTGCGCCCACACTTAGCGAATGTGCCAATATTCGGTTTACTTTCGATTCTGGATTTGTTCTCAGATTCGGGCGTATGCTGAACTTCAAATTTTGGGTTTGGGCTGGACTTTGATTTTGATTTTGGTTCGTTGCTATTGATATCCGGCTTTAGCTCGCGATCAGAGGCAGCTGACGGTGATACTGAAGCTTCTGATGGAACGCGCACGGGTCTCTTTTTGGAAGTCAATAACTTTGCTTTGGCTGTGCATATGGAATATAGTTACGTATATATAAGCAAACTGAGACTGGAAACAAACACTAGAATCACATATCTATAAGATAAAGTACTACCACACTAGTGTGACACATAGACACACATGTAGCCTATCTTGTAATCGCAGTTAGTCTACATTAATATCTCCATTTAGTATGGCTTGAAAAATAATATTAAAACAAATTAATTGTTTCACTTAACAAAAACACGCGTGGAGTCGTGCGTAGATAAAACATGCGACTGCAACTATGTACTAGTAGATGGATAGTCTCCAAGGTGCTAGTAGACTTCTATATACCCTGGTGCACACACATCAATTGCTGAATACTAGACCGATAAATTTCTCACCGTTCACTTATGGGATATAGGCACATGCATTGATAATATTAAACACACGTTCAGACGCAAATTCCAAGAGAGGGCGTCTGTATATGCTTATCATAGGTATACATACACTTATCATAGATACACATGTACATGCCTGTGGATATGACAGAGAGCTCCTAGATAGTAAGGCGTATATTGCTACCAGAGCAATACTTAAGGGCATGTCATCCAAGACGTATGCTCTAAAAGCGATGATATAAGATAGCAAGTACGCTAACCTCTATATGCTATAACAGTATGAAATATGTCATTATAAATATGTAAACAGGAAACGATCAATGTACACAATTTTGTCGCAATACTCATATGATTCGCTGCGGATCGTGTTCCCATCTTGTACTTTTTCAAATGCTCTGTAATGTATGCATCCAGCATGCCTGCCACCGGGGTTTCACGCCATGATCCTGGATTTGAAGATTGATAAATTTAATAGACAATATTCAGTTATGTTGGTAAAGCAATATTCACAGTAAAGCCACAATCCTGTACTATGTGAGCTCATGGTGTCTTGGTCGTCGTACAAATTTCAGATTATGCGTGGAGGTTGTGCTCATGCAAACGGAAAAGTGTGTGCGTGCCTTAGCAAAAGTGTACGCGAGCATGTGTGCATATACATGTGAGCATGTGTGCGTATACATGTGCGCGTGTGGATCGACCCAAATCTAATGCAAGTGAAAGCCATGCTTACAAACCGCACCGCAACAAAGTGCAAATAACTTTGCATTGATAAAAGCGAGTATCGCTGTTCCAATAAAAGAAACGGGCCACCGCAGTCATACACACGACACTATATGTGTAATACATTCGGTATAGACGAATCAACATAGTGCAGCCAATGTTACGGCAGGGCAAACCAATACGTGGAGAAACGAGGTCAACTTGTTGTCATCAACCAACCCCAAATTGGGTTTACTTGAATTGTGTGATGAGAGGGCTGAAGCATGCAACTTGAATACCCCACACCAGACAGGTTGACTATCACAGGGTACTTCTAATACTACCACAGCGGCGAGCAATGAAAGCATACTAATTAGCACATACGACTTGACAACCCTAAAAGCTTGTCAACCGCTGTACTGCCAAGGCTATGCGAATCTGGTTGTCTACAAAACCGAGTTCTTAGGAACAGCAGCCCATCAGGAATACGCACACGAAGGACCAAAGTATCACTGAAGATGACTGCAGAGTCTCTCTCTCATAAATATCGCACACAATCTGCTATGATCAGCGCATCACAGTATCGACTTCAAGCTAACGCGCACGCACTGTGTGAAAGCTCTTGTACACAACATGGGATCAGTGGTCGACATAACACAACCTGAGTACTCGACATGGGATCAGTGATCGACATAACACAACCTGAGTACTCGACATGGGATCAGTGGTCGACATAGCACAACCTGAGTACTTGAACACATACAACTTTGATTTCAAATTTATGAGACCACAATTTGGAAATAATTAAAAATTGGACTTAGAAGAATGTACCTTGTATTGTTGTTGTGTCGCAGATGATATAGTCTGGTGCCAGACCCGGGTGTTGTATAACATTGTAGAAATTGCCCTAGCAACATCTCTGATATTAAATTGACATAGTTTCAATAGGATGTAGTGTGTATTACTCGCTTACCAGCAAGCTCACTGATTCAGTACAGTATATATTAAAATGCATCTACATATACGTCAACATTCCCACTAACTTGCTGCAGCAGGAATTGAATTCTTCGTGGCTGAAGTTGTTGTCCCTGCCCTCAAATCTTGAGCCGCGTCGGACTTGACACTTCCCCCTCCCATGAACTAGAATAGAGTCAAACAATACATGTTTGGCGTTTAGATGATAAATATTCGCTAAATTTTTATGAAGTTATAGGTTCACGAGGTTAGGGTGTACAAAGGTGTATATAAAGGCGGTTCCGGACGTCATACGCATATGCTCATATATTAATATATATTTCGCCTTCCCCATGAACTACAATAGGGTCAAAATGAATGTGCTTGGGTATACGCCGCGAAATACTTGCCACTTTGTTCTGGAGATTGAAATTTATAAGGGAAGACTATACATAGGTGTATATAAAGACGGTATCTAATAACCCGCTAGCACTCGTATACATAACTAGTCTCAGATAGACAATATATATATATATATATACATACATACATACACACACACATACACTTATATATATACATATATAATTACATATAGGTAAATATATATACATAATATATATATATATATACTGTATATATATATATACATATATATATATATACATAAACATATATAAACATATATATACATATATATATATATATATACTAGAGGAAACTAATAGTACGAACATGATGCACATTCAAGCTTTCCAATTAAAAACTTCCCACCTTTATAGAACTGTTGGCTTCCAACGTGCTCACATCGGTAGCTTGTATGATGTCTCCTAAAAAGGACAGTATATATATTACTCCGCGCTCCTCCTCAACCAATCTCACATCGAAATACCTTAGGACATTCGTCCGATTAGATTTTCTGATGAAATGTATCAGTTGCATAGTCCTAAAGTTTGACATTCATTCTTAGACATAAATACTTTCGTATTGTAATTCTCTCATATGGTATTGCACCCCAACTTCCATACTGATCATAATTGTACGATATCACACACGAGAGATTATTTAAGATATGTCTTTCTCATGCTGAATCGCATCTGAAGGGCCATGACAGACAAATTATCTTTTTTAAAAAATGTGTATCTTACAAAAAGGACCAAGAATATTATATGTATTACATATACATATTGACAATCCTTCTGAAATTGAACGAAGGCTAAGTGATAATGATAAATAAATGGTGTTTGATTTAGAAGGCTATGATGATAGTTTTTAGTGTTAAAAGAATATGGAAAATAAATGTTCGTTGATACACACCAGTCTACATACTGTCTACAGTCTACACTAGTACAAAGTCTCCAAATTGAACAGTTTATTATCTAGTTGATAGTTGATAGTTGATAAATAGTTGTAAAAGTCGATAGACTGTAGACTATGTAGTTGATAAATACCTAAAAATAAATACTTGATACTTTTGAAGTTGTGAAGTTGTGATATATTTATGTATTTTTACCACAATTCTTTTTCTGTCGAAAATTCCGCCAAAATTTGCAGATTCCCAAATTGAATAGCCCAAGGGCAGTTCGGAACTTGTTTTCAGTTGTTGCCGCTCAATTCGTACATGCGTCGGTAAAACTCAGATTGATGATTTGAACACCGGGGGTTGCTTCCTCTATTCCAAGATGCATCATCAGTCAATAAATAGAAATATAGACAAGAGACTATTGAAAGCATACGCCTATACTGACATATATATGTATATATATATATATATATGTACGTATATATATATACATATATATATATATATATATATATACATATATATGTATATATATATATACATACATACATATATAAGTGGGAAAGTTTCATGCGTAGTCCCTGCATACGCGCCAAATCGCATATATACAAACTTCTGACGGCAAGGAGGTCGAAGCACTTCCTTGGCTGGTATACAGCTGGGGGATATAGCACAAGCAACGGTTACAAAACACATACACATCGCTTGAATGGTTATACGGGCTAGTCGGCGATGAGTAACGGATATGGAAACGCTGGTATGTATATACTGGTTTCAGGCCTCGTTTTACATGGAAACGCAGAGTTCTGGGGTAGTACATGCTGGAAAGTAGCAAGTTCTCGCGAGACGTTACTTCTGGCTGATAAATTTATTTGTACAGCCACGAATATAAATCATTTGATGTTTCTAATAATCTTTGTGTGCGAAAACAAAGTAAGTATGTATATGTATAAATACGTGTACTTGTGATATATTCGCCAAATATTTACTATTTATATCCATATACAGGCGCCTTATATATATATATATACATAAATAGACACACACACATACACACACACACATATATATATATA